AATACCTTGGTACCTGGTATTATTTCGACTCTTCTTTCCCCGGGCTAACTTCATTTGGTTCGGGGGCAGGTGCCGGTTCCGGTAATTGCTATGCCGCACATTTCTTTCCTTTGCTACTGGATATGGATATTGCATTCATCTCCCTTGCGGCCGGTTGATCGCCCCTTATCTGTTTGATCCCCTCGTATTTTGGAAACTTTAACAATTAGTGATATGTTGAAGGCACAACTTTCATCTCATGCAGCCATGGTCTTCCCAAGATGATATTATACCTCATGTCTCCACCTACCACTTCGAAGAGAGTTGTCTTCATTACTCCCTCAACATTCGTGAGCAGCAAAATTTCTCCCCAGATTGTCACGCTTGCGAGGTTGAATCCGGCGAGGAGTTTCATTGTCGGGATAATGCTTCCAGTGAGTTTCGCTTGCTCCAGTACTCTCCATTGTACGATATTAGCTGAACTTCCTGGATATACTAAAATATGTTTAATTTTAAAATCTAACACATTTACAGAAATTACTAGTGCGTCATTGTGTGGTAGCAGTAATCCGTCTGCATCTTCATCTGTAAATGTGATATCGTCTTTCCGAAGCCTTTTACTATGAGTTATCGATACTTTTATCTTCTTCGTTGCTGAAAGGGTGACCCCGTTAATTTCATTTCCTCCGAAGATCATGTTGATCGTTTGGCGTGGGGTTGTTCTCCTGCTTTCGAGGTTTCCACGTCGCCCCTGTGCCGACCATAATTGTTTTTAGCTCGGTCACTCAAGAATTCTCTGAGGTGACCATTCTTTAACATTGTTGCCAATTCTTCCTGGTGGTGTCCCTAGTCCGGTGGGCGTTAGTGCCATGGTAATCACACCATAAATTGGGATCCCTCTGGCTAGGATCAGATTTCATAGGTCTTGGGCTTTGTGCCTCTTTGATATTTTTCATGACTGATACTAACTCCACCACACTAACGTTGAAGTTATACTCCGATAACTTTGGGTAAGAAGAATCTCGCGACCCCGAGATTTCTCTATCTTGTAGCGATCTGTTGTTCCGGCCATGATCAGTCCTTCTATCAATGGTGAACTTGTCTGCTCTCCGGAAGCTCTTGCCACGACCTTCTGTCCTCGTAGGGCAAAAATCGGCCCCTCGAAGTCCGTCTATCTGTGTCAATATCATCTTTCATTTTTTCTCTGTTCTTCTCTCGTCCTTTGGTCGATGACGGAAAGCCAACTTGATCGTCTTCGGTCCTTATTTTTGACTCGCACCAGTTGTGGACATCCGCCCAAGTCGTCACTTGAAACTCGAGCAGACATTCCTTCAACTTCCGGGAAGCATCCGAACTTCTCAGGTAACGAACTGCCCATTCATCCGGTATTACCGGTAGTAACATCCTTTCCTTCTGGAATCGGGTAACGAACTCTCGTAATAACTCGGATTCTCCCTGCACGATCTAGAATATGTCAGCCTTTCGGGCTTGTACCTTTCTTGCACTGGCGTGAGCCTTGATGAAAGAATCCGCAAGTATCTACAACGAATCTATGGAATACTCGGGCAATAATGAATACCACATTAAAGCTCCCCTTGCGAAAGTCTCACCAAATTTCTTTAGCAACACGGATTCAATTTCATGAGGAGCCAAATCATTTCCTTTCACCGTTGTTGTGTAAGTGGGTAATGTGCTCCTGTGGATTGGAAGTTCCGTCATACTTTGGTACTTCGAATATTTTGAACGGCTTCGGGATTAATTCTGGGACTGCGCTCGGTTTATACGGTAATTGAATATACTTCTTCGAGTTTGGGCCTTTTAATACTGGTGGTGCACCTTGGATTTGATCTATACAGGCGTTTACTTCCTTCATGAACCGCAAAAGTTCATCCTTGAATGGATCATTCTCGTTGTTGAGGCCGGATCTACTCCCCTAGCCCCATCGGAGCCAACTTCGCCCCTAGGAGTGTTATTATCAACTCTCTGCATCGTCTAGTTCGCGGGAACATCGGGAGGAACTGGATCTCTCCTATTTGCATTATTTGAGTCACTCGATAACACCTGCTTCAGTTCCGTCATAACCTGATCCTGCCGCGTGAGATGGACTAGAATGATTACCTATTGCTCTTGCAAGACCCTTACTGTATCCGCCACATACCCTTCATCAACATCATCAGGAGTTGCCTCCCGAACATGTAGAGGGTACCGCCTGTCATATACCAGTGTGGTGTCGTTCCCCACATTGCGAGTGTCACTGATTGAAGCCTCGAAATGAGGTTGTTCCCCTTGAATTTCAGGGTTGCGTGTACCGTTAAGAGTGCTATCTGCCATTTTTGTGATTTTTTGCTAAGACAAAGTAATCAAAATACGTTAGTAAAAAAGACAAGGATCAATTTAATCGAACGACTGTCTAGGCCCCACGGTGGGTACCAAACTGTTTACCCGTAAATCAGTACAGATGAATTTGTTCGTAGTTTCTAGATAAGTGAATTAATTTGATCCCAAAGATAATGAAATAACTAATGAAATATAAAATACTAAGCCCTAGAATGTATATGGAACGACAGAGCTGATGAGTCCGGGAACAGGGCTTCAGGACACAACAATGATGAGATCAAAAGCGAGAAAATAAAATTGCATTAAAATACTGTATAGAATGTAGTGTAAGTTAGCCAGAAAATTTGTGTCTCTTACAATGATCATTGAGCTTATTATTTATAGCTATGAAGAAGGTACTAGAGTCGTGCCCTTCTTTAATATCAATTATGAGGAGCATTGATGAAGACGTAACGGTGAACATATATGACAAATTCTCTGTAGCGGGTAATTGCTCTTTAATGCTTTGGAATATTCCCCATTGAATGCTACCGGACGCAGAGTATTCAATGCCTTCACGAGCGTTATCTTTTCCGGTGACACACGGGATAGCTGTGTGCAGTTTTTCGTCCTCCCAGCTTAGGTTCCACGTTTCCCCTTCTTGGGTGGCCACGTGCCATAACATATTTTACCTAATACAGTTATCATAACTATTATACGTGAAACATCTTGAAAGAAAATTTATTTCTCTTTCTCAAAATCACATTACAATTTAATAGTATTCCTGAAAATATTCTACACTTAAAAAATTCATGTCGAAAACTTTTAAGCATCTAACATAGGATCGAGAGGAAAAAGGGTATATGTCAAAATCCGTTGTGGTTGAAATATTACTAGTAAGGTATTCTTACGATGCCGCATGTCGAAATGATCCGATTATCAATGAAGGTCGTGGTCGAAGACTTAGCGTGACATGGCAAAAGAGTCCGTAAGAGCCGTAGTCTAGATATCAATGAGGGTCGAGGTCAAGTATTATTGATAGAGTTATAACGGCTAGTTTTCGAAATAGGATATTAAAATAAAATATTCTAGTAGATATTTTCTGCACTTGTACTATTAGGGTTTCTTAGGAACATGTCCCATATAAATAGAAAAAAGAGACAATGATAGGGGCATGTGATATTCATTTGTAAAGAAGACACTTTGACAAAAAGACTCATCTCTTTCTCTCTCTTACTAAGATACAAACATCACCTTTTCACTAAGATTCTTGTCTATACTTTTCCATCATATCCGAGAATAACTCAAAATATTCAAAAATTTGTCTATTATTCATCATTGTCAGGAGGAACATCCACATATTCCATTCTTTATTGGATGAATCATTCCTCCTATTTACTTAAATGTCATTTATTGCTATTTATTGTTATTGAATACTACATTATTGCTCTTGCTTTCTAGAAAAGTTATTACATATTATTGCCATTGTCCGACCGGACCATCTAACATTTATTGCATCTTTGAAAACTTCTTCTAGGGATATTATTGTTAACTAAGATTGACCCTTAATTACACAAATTTAATTATTTGATCCAAGATCCATATTTTTTGGTCAAACAATTTGGCGCTGTCGATGGGGATTTCTTAGTTATAGTTTTAATTTCCTCTAGATCTACAACTAGCACAGGTCACTAACGTAAAAAAAAAAAAACAAGACCTACTTTCTTTGTGTACACAAAATCCAACATGGCAGGTAACCGAGAAAAGAGGACGAGAATAACAAGGGACCTCCCAACCAAACTCATAAACGCCATCAACGAAAGCTGTGAAATGGCAGATGAGGGCATGACGCCCAGTGCTTCCCCTAGACAAGATGGGTCACCGCCCCCTCACTACAACTTAACAAAATCCCGTGGTAAAGGAGCCTCCACATCCATGGAGGAAGAGATGCCCCCAGATGTGAAAAAACTCAAAGTGTGGCTAACGTACACGCTAACAAGCATCCTCGACAAGCCCGCTCAGGGAACGACAACAGAAAATGCAAGGACTTGTACGATATAACAAACAGACGAGCAATGCAACCAACCCTTTCCTTCAACGATAGGTATTACTCACAATGTCATTGATAGTGCAGGTGTCAACTCCCTCACAACCATTCTAAAAAGGATGGAAGAAATGGAGAATGAAAACAAGGCGCTCCAATATCAAATGAATGAACACCAAGAAAGGGTCGATAAAATACCGGGAGTTAAGTTGTTGCTGAAGATGGATGCGAGACGGTTCGTCGAGCAGCCGTACAGTGATGACACTGCCCCACACGCCATACCAAAGACCTTCAAAATGCTGCCCTACATTAGGATATATGACGGCACGACCGACCCTGAAGATCACGTGACTCATTACGTCACCGCCTTAAAAGGCAAGGATCTCGCCAAAGAACAAGTATCTTCCATTTTGCTATAAAAGTTTGGCAAAACCCTCACAGGAGGGTCATTAACATGGTATTCGCAGCTACGAGCATGCTCCATATAAACTTTTGAGGAAATGGTCGATAAGTTCGTAATGTCCTATGCCGGAGCCAAGAACGCCGAGGCAAGAGTGACGACATATTTTCTATTAAGAAGTCCCTGGGAGTGGGACTAAGGTACTTCCTCGCCCGGTTCAACCGAGTGAGGATGACTCTGCCAAACGTATCATAAGGGATGATGGTCGAAACCTTTCAGAATGGGGTGAGTAGAGATGGTTCAAGAGTAACTAGAAAACTGTTGAGTCGGTTGTTGAAGTATTCCCCAACCACTTGGGACGAATTCAACAATTCTTATTGTGCTAAAGTCCGTACAGATGAGGACGACCTAAACGGAGCAACTCACCGACTAACCTCGGTACAAGCCGAATCAAGAAAAGATCGAAGAGACAACGCCAGAAGAGATCATCCAATTTCGCGACCTAACGGGGAACATAATCAACTATATATCAGGACGGCCATTGTGCCCTCCCTCCTCTACGAAGAAGGTCCGTCCAGACGAAGGACGGGAACTCATTGGAATGACAGAGGTATGCCTCCCCTATTATCTGCTCACAATTTTTATGTGTCACCTACAGAGATAGTCTACGCTCTGCAGACGTTCAAACCGAAAGTGAAATGGCCACCGAAGATAAGATCGGTCCCAAACACCAGAAAGTTTGACGCCCTCTTTGGGTTCTACCAGGAACGAGGACACAAAACTGAAGATTACATCACCCTGAGGCAAGAAGTCTTAAACATATTGCGACAAGGGCACCTCAAAGGGCTACTAAGCGACATGGGAAGAACCAACTTCTCCAGAGGACGCAAACACCAAGGACCGCCAAAACCACCCTCACCAGCTCGTACCATCAACATGACCATCGGCGGCAATGATGACACCTCTATCAACAGTGTGAAGTTCACCACTACCCACAAACTCAAGCAATCTATCACCCGCGAACGGTACGACGAACTTAAAGAAAGTATCATGTTCGACAAGTCGGATGCCGACAGTTTGACCTTTCCTCATAATGACGCTCTCGCTATTACTTTACGTATTTTAGATACCGATGTTCAACGTATTATGATAGATGATGGGAGCAGCACGTGCATTATCCATCCCCGAATGTTTACCCAAATGAGATTCGAAGATAAGATAGTACCGCACTGCATCACACTAATTTGTTTTAACAGTGCAGTTGAATAAACATCCAGGGAAATTACACTCCC